CACTTGCTATTTGGAAGACACCCGGTTCAAGCTAGACGTCCCTCAGAATATACATCGAAGTTGAAAAGAGTCTGGCTGATCATTTTCCACCGGAAACTCGGGGGTTTGTTCCACCAAGCGTTTGTTGGTGCATTTTCTTCGACCTCGCCGGGGGCCCGTGAGGCGCCGGGCGCCGGGGGCATCCGTGCACGGTCCAACCGATCGCTGAGGTTTGGACCGTTGGATCCCAGTCGTTTGATCAAGGAGCTGAGCAGCAGTAAGGAGGCTTTGGAGAAGCGCTTGGAAGGCTTAGCGAACCAAGAGCTCCAAGAGGAGAGGGGCAGATGGACGGTGGATGGGGCTCGTGTGCTTAGGAGAACTTATGAGTGTTTGGGCACTGAAGCTCAAGTCGGGAGTTCAAAAACCGGGCTCGCGTGAGCCTAGGATGGAGTTGTTTTGAGAGTTGATCAAGCGAGCTGAGCCCGGTTTCGCCCTCGTCCGGTAAGCATGGCGATGCCACTATTGCTTTCCATATGTTGAGGATTTTCCAGCATCACTTTAAGTACGTGGGAAGAAACACGTCTCGCAATTGCCTTGAGTCGACAATTGCCTGAGACTTAAGAAATCAATCATTTTTCAATCCCGAGAAACCACGACCAACTTGGCACGGGACCATCGTGCAGGAAGTCTTGGCTCTTCAAGACTGGCGAGAGAAGGCGGACATTTGCTGGAATGGGCCAAGTCTAATCTGGTGCAAGTCGAATCTGGAGTGGCACTCCTTCCTTCTTCGAATAGCATTGCTATCATTTCGAGTCCAAGCAGCCGAACATCGCACTCCTTCAGTTTTGCTCTTTGGTACACAACTCATCTCCCTGACCATTTCTTTTCATCCCTAAAGCCCACACACCGGCCACCGTTTGGGGTGTTCCAGGCCATGGGCCGTCTCAAAACCCTCGAGAAGCGTGCAGCCTGGGCCTTTCTGGGTGTCGCCGGCGAAGGCGTCGCCAGCCAGGCGCGCGTGGGGGTGTCTGGGTTTGGTGTTCTGATGTGTTCGGTGTGTGTTTGGGATATTTTTTGTATATATTATGCACTGTACACTTGTGGGGCCCCAATTCATGAAGTGACAGTCCAGAAACCATGGTGGTTTAAGCTCAAGGATGGTTTTGATCCGAGGGCGCCGACCAAGTTGGAAGGTCGAAGATCCGCTGCTTTCGGATCAACCCCTTCACCAGCACGTCACCACCGGTTCCCCCCACCGGTCCCCCGGTCGAGCCACGAGTTCGAAGTCCGTGGGCTCGGAAAGGCGGAGATCAAGAAGGCCTTCAAGCGGAGGGCTCTGGAGCTGCATCCCGACAAAGGCGGCGATGCGGATCGTTTCCGACTGCTCCAGGACGGAGTTGAGGGTCGATGTCTTGTGCCTCGGTCTGGGAGAGGGATCAACGGTGCTTTCTTGGCTGCTTTCTTGGGTGGTTTGATGTGATCAAGAACTGGGAAAGCTTGAAAAACTCCATCTGGTGGCGCTCCAAAGTGAGGTTGCAAGGATGGGTCCACAAGTACTTCTTTGGACAACTCTTGAGAGACAGATGCTCATGGTCTTAGAGATTGCCAAAATCGCGACACGATCTGTACAACACATGTACGATCTCAGCTAGGTTGTTTCCCAACCAATGCAAGTGGATGAGCACCAATACATTTTCTGTTTTCGTGGATTTTTGGATCTTTGTGGGGCTCCGCCGGGCTCAGTTTGCTTCGATTAAAACAACTGTGATCTATACCTCAATACAAATAGACTGTCGATGAAGAGTGAGATAGTACAGACTTTTTTTATGACTCGTGAAAGCTTGGAATGTTTCTTCACAGAATTCTGGTGACCTTAGGAGATGAGGGACTTGTTGGTCGAGCCCAAAAGCCACGCCTTGGAAGGCGGCAAGGTGCGGAGTGGTTTCAAGGGTTCGGGCGAGGAGGGGAGGAACGGAGAGGATCGGAGTGGTGACGCAATTCTTGGCTTCCCACCTTGCAGAAGAGTGCTTCAGCTAGTATTGTCAGTATTGTTTATACAACTGGTGGGCCACCTTTCGGGCAATCAGGGGAGGGTTGCTTCGCCAAAGACCGATCAAGCAGTGACAGAAGAGCATTGTCAGTTCAATACAATCTGGTAGGGCCTGGTAGGGTGCGCTAGTGGAAGAAGTTTTTCTATCATCGACTCATGGTCGAGATAACGATGCGAAGGATGAGGAAGCTGATCGAGTTTCCACTCGCAGCAGACGGACCTGCAAGGAGGCCAGAAAGGATAAAGAAGGAAAGAAGGATGAGAAGAAGGACAATGAGGACGAGGAGGCAGATGAGGAGGAAGAGGAGTTCTCAGATGACAGCTGGGATGCGGATGAAGAGTTCCGGAAGATGTTTCCGAAGCGGAAGCGGCTTGGCGAAGCCTTTAAACCAAGAGCTCTGGCATGCTGGACATCCAGTAGACATCAGAATAGCATGTGCCAAGAGAATACCTCAACTCATCAGATACAAACATGAGAGTGAGCACAGAATAAATTCCTTGTTTCACACTGTGACTTCTTGTAGTTTGGGAGCAGATGCAAGTTATTTTTTTTCCCACATCTTCCTTCAATCGGGAAGATGTTGTTAGACACTGGATCCCTCAGGGCTTGATAAAGCCCTCAAGCCCAGAGGTCGTCTCTGAGGTGGTAAGCTCAGATGGCCTTCCGAAGGCCCTGAACAGAGCTGAGCTGAGCTCCAGCAAATCTTCAAGTGGACAATCTTCAGGATGTAGATTGAGCTTAGGAAGAAGAAGAAACAGCCCGAAGAGGCGGAGGCCGAAGTGTTGAAGGAACAGGACTGAAGGTGTTCTTCTGGGCGGTGTTGGGTGTGGTGAAGAGAGCACCTTGGGTGCGGTTTCAGGTTCAGAGCCCTTTCAAAAAGCTGGTGTTGAAGTGGCGCAAGCTTGTCCTTCACTTGAATTTCTGACTGGCAAAACCATGAAATCCAACCAGTTTCTATGGGTTTGCCTTAAGGGACGGGATGATGGCTTTTTTGGGCGAATCTCCTCCCTGAGAAATTGGTACTCGCCATGGGCGTTCCCCCCGAACAAGCAGATGCCGAGGACTTCCACCGAGGGAAGTTTGAGGCGCAAAGGCGCAAGCTCCAGCGTCAGTTGCGGGAGATGTGGATCCTTAGCCGCACAAACTAGAGAAAATTGGGCCGGAAGAGAGTTGATTTGGGGAGAGCTCATCACTTGACCACGTTTTTCTACGTTTTTCGAGGTGGTTGAAATATGACTGTTTTTGTTGTTCTTGCAATCTTGCCTCGTTTGTATGTCGGATGGCCATACTTAGCGAACTAGCAAATGCCAAACTTAGCAAGACTCACAAGAATCCTCCTTTGAATGCATCTCTTTTGTTGGATTTCGTGCCTTCATTTGGGGCGGTGAGACCTTTCCATTCGAAGATCGAGCTCAGGATGCGGGCCTGCCGACTCTCCGAGGAAATCCAAAGGCTCCGACTCGAAGCGGTAGGATGGGTCGTTCCACCTGGTAGGTCAATTCGTCGACCAAAATTGGTGTGATATGGTGGGATGACCCACAGTCTTAGCTAATTACATCATGCTACATCTGCGAGTTGGTGTTCCACAGAAAGCTCCCCAAGTCGGTCTCTTCGAGGATTTTTCCATGCGTTTGAGGTCAGGAAAACGACCGTTCAGTCTCTTTGGCCTTTCGGTGCCTGGTGACCCTCACCGAAAACCCACCGCTCTCTCCGCTCGAACCGCTGAGCCCCCACTGCCACCGGCAGGAGCCAAACGCAGAGCGGCGCGGGCGACGCCCTGCGGCAGCTGCGGAAGTTCGTCGACCGCTTCGCCGTGACGGAGGTGCAAAAGCTGCGCACGGACGACCCCAAGAAGGCCACCGGTGGTGAACGGAAGCGGAGCGGAAGAAGAAGCGGGGTGTGGAAGAAGATGTGGAAGAAGATGTGGAGAAAAGGCCGGTCAAAAGAGAGTGGATGAATCCTGGTGCATTTCTGCAAATTTCTGCTAGGCTCCTAGTTAATTGGCGCCCCATGATGTTGGTTTGAGCTGAAACAAACAGTTTGGAGCTGGAAATTCCAAGCTTCGAAGCGATTCGAAGCCCCATTCTCTCATCACTGACCCATCCCGTGAGCTCATCACCTCCTCATCCACTCCATCCTCTCCACCCCGCGGGAAAGCCACCCCTTCTCACATCTTCCACCTTGCGCGCTCCGTTGCACACGCTCCGGTGCCCAGGCGCAACGAATCTTCCGGCGCTTCTTGGAGCAGGGCGCGGAGGTCCTCTGCGCCGCCGGCGCCTTGGACCCCGCGGCCGCCGTGTCCGTGGTCGCCATGCAGGCCGTCCCGGTGCGGTTCGCGAGTCGACGTGGCGGTGGCGGGGGGGCAGGTTTGTGTTTTATGTTTTACTTTTTTGTTTCTCAATTTTGGAACATTGGAATTCGACGGATGAGATGGGTGATTCGGACTTAATGAAGGATGAATTCGAGGCCGGGCTCCGCGAGGAAGAGGGATGAGACGGGTAGGCCTCTAAATCGTCGGTCCTGGTAGTGGACCTGTTCGGCCTCGTCAACATGTAATGACTTCGGCAAGCAGAATCACCTTGGAGTTCAGGGAATCGATGGTGTCGGGAACTACTCCGGAGCACTTCAACAACTGACCCAGTTGGCAGTACGGATGACACGTCTTTGGTGACGACCTACAGGACCTATACAGTCTATAGGGTCTATATATTGCTAGAGCTTATAGCAAACGCAGCTCATACAAAAGGAGGCAAGCCTTGCAGGGTCCCCCGATTCTATGTCTGACGATCCTCACTCGGTCAGCCAGGTGAACTGCCCACTATTGCAGGCTACCGAAGAGGATGGTGTGCTACAGAGGAAGTGCCAAGCACTACTGGAGGCGATCCAGGAACTTCCATCCATTGGAGAGCAGGTGGGGTCAGGGGTCCGGCGAACTTTCGGCCGACAACGCCGGCGACGAGTGAAGGACCGGTTCTGAACTTACAACGAGGTCGCGACAAGCATTGCACCTGTTCCTAGTAGCTTCTTGTTTCTAATAGCTTCTTGTTACTACTAGTAAGGCACCTGTTACTAGTAGCGATGCACTTGTTCCTATATATATATATATATTGTCATAGATGTGTGACTTCTGGGACATCCTGGTGCTTTTTGGGTTGGTGAAGAATTTGGCTCAGGGGGTTCAAAACGAAAGGCCTTCGACTCAGGAGCAATGGTAAGCTGGACAGCAATGAAAGCCCGTTTCCTCAAGTAATAATAGGGCATCTTCCAGTTCAATGCGACAGAATTGGTGATGTTGCTCTTGCTGTGAGATACATGGGCAAGCTTTCATTCAAGAAACTCTCAGATGTCCGTATGCCCCATCAGCTCTGGTGCGAATAATTACCTACTGAACCCTCAGATCTTGGGATTTGTTCCGTGCGTCAACTTGACGAATTCTCGACTAGACCCCTCTTCCGTCCTCTTTTTTCCACCCGTCCCATCTGTCCCCTCATCTGTCCCATCAATTCCGTCCAGGTGGGGTCGATTCCCACCGACGAGGGCCTGGCCTTCGAGCTCCTCCTCCCCGACGACGACGCGGTCGGACGCGACGCGGGGCAGCGCACCGCGCGGCGGGTGCTGCTGCAGCTGCCGACGGACGCCACACTGGGGTGCCTCAGAGCGGCGGCCCAGCACTGCGGAGGTGCAGTTGGACCTGACATGGGGCATTGAAGTACATACACCTTACATCAACTCAATACACCGACACAAAGGTATCAATCGCATCCTTTGTGTGGCCTTGTTGCAGAGTCCAAAAGCACCGAGCAACTGGGCGCGAGATCGGCTGTGATCACAAAGCCACGGCCAGGTTTCGACCGCGTGCCACGGCTCTTCGCGAAGGGTCGCTTCGTGGCGGGCGCGGACAGCGTGCCGCTGAGCGCTTTGCAGTTGGGCTCCTTGCAGTGCCTCCCGAGCAACCTCACTCGACGGTCGCAGGTGCGGCGCATATCGCGCGGCGCATATCGCGCGGGGCTGCATGGAAGGGAGGACCCGTCGAATGCGGAGGTGGGTTGTGGGGACATGTTGGGTGAGTATGGGGTTAGAATCAAAAGAGGGACCTTGGTTGTTGCACTGTAGTTTTGGGTTCTCATGGCCACGAAGAACGTACTTGTCTTGAGCCAAGAGAGACAAAGAAACCACTGATTGGTGATAGAGTTTCCATTGGGCTTCCGCCATTTCCCACCGAGCAGCTTGCATCACTTTTGGTCTAGGCCACGAGCCCAGGCGCCCAAACCGAAGCCAACAGCACCAGCACCCACGGTGCCAGCAAGTGCAGCCACCCCGGTGGCGCCGGTGGCACCGGTGGCGGTGTCAGTGGAGACGCTGAAGCGCGTGGAGCCGATGGTGGCGAGGGATGAGCAAGCAGAGCCGGCGGAGCAGCCAATCGCAGGTG